GTAAAATGTTGTTGATTTAATTAGCTTGATTCGTTTTTATGGGTTATCAACCCTTTGCAGGTTATTGAAAGCCAGAAAATATTTTTAAATTGCAAGAATTTTTTGGAGGTGGAGGAGATAATGATATAAGTCTTACTAATTAACCCATAGCTAGTGGGTGAAGATGTGGATTCATACTTCATCAGAATTTAATAAACAAACGAGAAATTTTAATGTTGATATAAAGTGGGTGATCAATTCTATATTACAATCAATATATAAACTTATCCCTCACTTTGTGGTCACGGTAGTTTGTATTCATTTATATTCCAGAGAATTTAAATAAATCTAAAAGACATGACTGTGTCGCTAATCAGTATTTGAGAGACAAACAAGAAATTATGATGTGGATATAAAGTGGGGGATCAATTCTATATTACAATCAATATATAAACTGATCACTCACTTTGTGACCACATTAGTTTCTATACAATAATATTCCAGAGAATGTAAATAAATCTAAGACATGCCTGTGTAGATAATCAGTATTTGATTGATTGATTCCTTTTCTACGGCTTATCAAGCTTTTTCAGATTATTGAAAACCAGAAAATATTTTTAGATTGTAAGATTTTTTATATAGATAATAATGGTTTAGTGATACAAACCTTACTAATTAACCCATAGCTGGGGGAATAAGAGGTGGATTCATACCTTTTCCAAAGAGTATTTGCGCGTGAGGGAATATAAGGAGCACAACGGGAACTGGAATCCGGCTCCCCGATTAACAATTTAGTGTTTTTACTCATCCAAGCTTACAGTACCTGGTATTCCCAAAATGGTCACCCATCTAAGTACTGACTAGGCTCGACGTTGCTTAACTTTGGTGAGTGTAAGAGTTAGAGAGGCTGTCAAATCAAATAATAACTAGTTTTAACCTGTGAAAATCTCACGGTTTTCCTATTTTAATATTTTGATGAATCTTTATTCTTAAGTTAATGATTGAATAAGCTCATGGCGAGTTCTATGACAATAAAATATCCATGTTAATTCTTCTATTGCATTGTTAAATATTTGAGCTTAACAAATTTAACCAAATATTGCAATAATAATCATAAATATGAATTCTTGTCGTTATTTTAAGAAGTGGGTACAAATGAGACGATTTGAAATTGACAACTTTTTTTCCATTTTACTGAAACAGCCACTAAACTCTCCTATCTTCTCCCCTCTTTTTTCTTTCATTCATTTTCTTGCTGAAACCAAGTAGTGTTTATTCCCCTCTTTCCACGCGGTCAAAACGGAATAGTATTGGCCGGGCATAACGGTCGTGCGAACTAACAACGGTGTTGGCAGTAAAGCATAATTATAATAGGATAACTATTTTTATTTTATTTTAAATTCCTTCCTTCATCAAGCAGCTTACATTATATATGTGTGTGTGTGTGTGTGTGTGTGTGTGTGTGTGTGTGTGTGTGTGTGTGTGTGTGTGTGAGAAATTGTATGAATAAGTGGAAAACGTTTACTTGTGACGCGTTTGGTTCTTTAGGACTAAAATTTGTTATGTTGGTATGACTACAAATGCGCACGAACGAGGGATGTTGGGAATTTTAGTTTTTCTTTTTTTTTTTTGTTTTGTTTTTCTTTTTAGTCAAATTCATTTAGAATCTTTTTTGTTTCCTTCGCTTTTAGAAGTAGGTATTCCACACTGTGCTATTAGAAAATCTGCCAAGAATGGTGAATGGTAAAAGACAAGGTGCATGTTTATTGTAGATGACCTTTCAGTTAAGAACTGTCTTACGTCGAAGTGAATCCTTTGATTCGAGTATCATTTTTTTGTCAAATCTGTGGCCAATCTCGTTACGGTGGGCAACCAACGCATTTGACGCATTATTTTGTAAAATGTCCCTTTTGTGTTCATATAATCTTTTATTTAGATT